TAGAGATTTTGTATAAAGTAGAAGTTCTCCTTGAACAAATGAATGATAATATTCGTCAAAAGTATCATGGGATAAAATCTAAAACAAAAGGTGAACTATTAAATATATTACAAGAAATACGAAATTTAATGTAAATTTTTTTTAAAGTAAAATTTTAAATTTTACGAAATATTCGAAATATTACAATTATAATAAAATACTAGAATATTCCGATCTGCAATTTTATTGATATAAATAGTAATGATCATCATAATAATTTTGGTAATCTCCCTGACTGTAATGGTTGAGAAATTTTGTATAAATTGATGATATATGAAGCAAGTCCTAAAAATTCACAAAGTTCAGTGATGTTAGAAGGTATCAGAAAGTCTCTAATCTTTTCAATTTTTGAAGGGTCTGGAGTGATCCCTTGTCTATTTACGATGTATTCTAAAAAAACAAGTTCAAGCTTTTCAAATTTACATTTATCTTTTCCTAGAGGTATCGCTACTTTCGAGAGTTGTTGTTTTAAAAGGTTCAGTCATTCTAGAAGGAGAAGGATTATGACTTGGATTTATACGCGATATATTGAAGTAAATAAGTAAGTCACCTTGAAATTTCTTTTGGAAGAAGTCAGTTTCAGCTTGAGCTCGAATACAATATGTAACTGCTCGCTCAAAGGTTAGTATTGATGTGTTTTTGTATCTTAAAGTATTAAGAATTTGTTTGTAATATATTTCTCTTATGCTAGTAGACTCTACAGCAATCACAGTCTGAAAAGCTTCTAAGCTTTTGCTAGTATATAATGATACTCCTAAAACCTGTTGTATCTACTCAAAGAAGTTAAAAAAAGGTTGCAGAATCTCTCTAGGTGGTAGATTATAAGCGATACAGGATGGGTCGTCTATTAAATTAAAATTGCCAGTAGATTTCTAAAGTTACGTTCTTATCTATTGTGTATAGCTAAATAGTTCCATTGGTATTTTATCAATTCTCTGAAGTTATTCATAGAGTATTTCTCATAGTATTATGTAAACAGGAAAAGAGGGTCCTATCATCGTCACCAAATGTTAACATGCAATCTTTTTAGATTACAACTGTTAGACGTAGTGTCAGAGGTTTGACTCTTTTATAGTTTACGTAATAATTTCAGTTAGTTTTCGATAATCTTAGCTAATTCGCTACTAGTTTATTGTATTAAATCAAGTTTATTTAATGCGAGTGACTTCAATTGAAAGTTAAGAGTATTCACGGTAAATTCAAGAAGAGTTTCAGATAAGAAATAAGAAATACTTTATTGAAGTAAAAGAAATGATAAGATAATGATATATGAAAGAAATAAGAAAAAAAGAAATAAGAAACAGAGATACACGAAGTAAAGAGTAGCATTGCGTTATCTTTTACAAAAAAAAGGTTCTATACAGCTATCGGTCTTCTCTCTTCTAATTAATAAAGGGGGTTATATTTATATCTATTTTATTACATATTTTGATATATCTAATATATTAACTATGTTAACTATATCAATTATATTAACTATATCTACTATATTAACTATGTTAGACATATCTGATATGTTAAACATATTAGCTATATTAAGCATGTTAGACATGTTAAATATGTTTGACATTATCGACATTTGTACTTCACTACACAATTGTAGATCTATGATCGTTAAGATCGATATCTAGTTACAATATAAATATTACTAAAATGCTAATAAAAAAAATTATTATAAGAATAAAAAGAATATAGTTAAATTTTATCAATCAACCAGCCAATTTTTCAAATGATAAACTGATTTTTTTACTTTCTATAATAGAATCTCAATTATCAGCAACATCATCAAAATGCCTCAAAATTAAAATTAGCTAATAAAAAGCTAGAACATAAATTGATTTTATCAATCAACTAGCTAATTTTCAAATAATAACTGATTTTTTTGTTTCTCTATAACAGAAACATAATCGATAATAACACCACCAAAACACCTCTAACAAAAAAAATCAGCTGATAAAAAGCCAGAATATAAGTTGAATTTTATTAATTAACAGCTAATTTTTCAAATAATAAACTAATTTTTTTGATCTCTATAATAGAAACACAATTGACAGCAATATCACTAAAATGTCTTTAATAAAAAAAATCAACTGATGAAAAACTAAAATGTAAATTGGATTTTATCAATTAATCAACCAATTTTTTAAAGGATAAACTAATTTTTTTAATTCTTTATAATAAAAACATAATCAATAATAATACCATCAAAATACTTCTAACAAAAAAAATCAGCTGATAAAGAGCTAAAATATAAGTTAAATTTTATCAATCAATCAGCCAATTTTTTAACTGATAAACTGATTTTTTGATTCTCTATAATAGAATATAGTCAACAATAACATCATCAAAATGCTTCTAACAAAAAATCAGCTGATGAAAAGCTGAAATATAAGTTGAATTTTATTAATTAACTAGCTAATTTTTTAAATGATAAACTGATTTTTTTGCTTTTTTATAATAGAAAAAAAACAAAAATGTATTTATATAATATTATCTAAGGATACGCTAATTTTTATAGAACATATATTAGTCATAATAATATACTATTTTTATATTAATACTAAATAACTTTCAAATTATAGAAGTAGATTTAAAAGAAATGCAAAAATAATACAAGAAAATTTAGCTTCTATTAAAATTTTGATGACAACCAATGGCAAGTACTTTAGCTGTAGCTGAATTTGAGATTCTTGATTATTCAAATGATTTAAAATCAGGTATATTATTTTTGATTTATTTCTATTTATTATTTATAATTAATAATATATTTCTTTATTTCTACATAGAGAATTAAAAGTTAAAAAAAAAACTTGTGAAATTTATCAAGAAAATCAAAAAATTGGAGTGATAAATTCTGATTTCTTAAGGAAAATTAATTTCTTACCAAAATCAACAAGGAATTCAGCAAGAAAAATGAAGATTTACAGAAGAAATAAAAATTCGTATACTAATATCCTATATTTACAATAACTAATTTTTCTTTTTTAATATTTAAACTTAAACGATTTGAGAGATTATAGTTTTCTAAATTATTGAGGCAGTCTGATGCTGATCTTTCTATAAAATGAAGAAAAGTTAGAAAATCTTTGTTAAAATTAAAAGAAAAAAACCAGTTCATTATACAATGATGAATTAGAATTATTGCAAAATAATTCTGAAGATGATGATAATTTAGTAAAAGAAGAGACTAACATAAAAAAAGTCAGATATATTTAAATTTATGTTTAAATAATTTAAATTTTAAATGATTTTTTTCTTACTTTTCATATTTAGGCTAAAATGAAGGCAGTTTTGAAAATTATCAATTCAAAGAACGATTTAAACTATTACAAACCTTTAATGCAAGAAAAATGCTATGATGTATCATAGTTTGATTTTAGAATTACAAAAGTTCTTGACTTTAAATTATCAGCTTTCTGTTAAAACTTACAAACTGGCTGAAATTTCTTCATAAATTATATTGGTCAGCTTAAAGAATAAAAAAGCAGAAAAGACCCTTTAGAGTTGCAATAAATTCATAATAATAATTGAATATATAATATAAATAAATAGAATATATTCTAAATTTAGATTTATTTTAATTAATAATTTAATATTATCTATTATTTATTGAAAAATAACTTAGCGAGTAAAGGCTGTAATAAATTTATTTCAAGAAAAATAACTAATAAATTGTGAAATATGAAAAGCGATCTTTACTCTTAATGCTTAGCGATTACTATTCTATTTACTAGAAATTAAAAAATGGATAAAAAAATTGTTTAAAGTTTATTATTACTATATATAACTATTCTTAACGATCAGCTAAGATTTATTATTTTCTTTATTTATTTTAGCATTTTTCAAATTTATTTAGTATATTCACTAATATTCTTTCTTATTTTCTTCTTTTAGCTAAAACCCTGATATGATTTATAATACTAAAATTAAAGTAGATATTATAACTGCTAAAAAATATGTGATTGAAATCGAAAAATATATTGAAGTTGAAAGGGTTTCATTCGTTGTTGAAGAAAGTGAAAATGATCTCGTAATAGCATAATAGATGATGTTGAATGATAAATTTAGAATGGGAATGAGTTAATTTATTAATTATCTTTACTTTTTTTGCATGATTCAGGGTGGAAATTAAAAAAAATAAATAAAATAATAATTAATATAAAAAACTTTTAATCATTATTTTTACTTAATATATTGTAGATATAGATATAAAGTAAAATATTTTTTACTTACTTGATTCAATTATTAAAATAAAAAATTTTTAAAAAGATAAAAAAGATCTTATTTTTAAAAATACATATAAATTATTTATTTATAAAAATAAAAAAATTTAAGTTATAATTTATATTTTTTAATGATTATTACACAATCTATTAATAAATCATTTAAAAATTATTATAGGTTATATCATTATAAATTTACTTATGATCTAGAGCAAAATGTAGAATTATATAAGATAAGTGTTAAGAAAAGAAATTAAATTAATATTTTATATATTTTATGATAAAATTCTAATCAAAATAATAAATGAACGGAAAATCAATTTTTAATCTAAATTTAGTATAAAACCAACTGACTTTTAAGTTATTTATTTATATAAAAAATAGTGCAACATCTTAATAAATAATTAAATATAGTTAAATTAATTTTATTAGATAATAGACGTATTATAAGATTGTAATATTTTATTATGCTAATGATTTTTCTTTATTAAGTAAAAAAATTTTCCTAATAAAATCTACATTTATTTATGATAAAATAATAAATTTTTTTTTGAATGTCGATTTGATTCCTTTTCCTAGCACTTATCTATAAAAACAACATCAATTTTATAATGCTTAGTATAGTGATTTAATTTTATCCCAAAATTCGATTATTATTGGTCACAAATTGATTTAGAGATGATCGGCATACATGTTTACATAAAAAAGAATGTATGTATCGATCTATTCATAAAAAAAATGTCCGAAACTTCTCATGATCCTACTTCTACGAGCAATGAACTTGTGATTTGGAAATATGATAATCCTTATGCGAATTATAAACTTGATCCTGAACGAATCTTTTTATTAAATGGATATACACGTAATATGTTAATTGATATATGTAAATAAAAAAAAAATTATTTATTAATATTATCGAAAATAATTTAGTTCGAATAAATCAAAAATTAAATAATATTGTCGACATTACACAAAATACTGGGAATTTAGTTTGGGATGGCGTAAGACAACATTCTTATTTGTCATAAAGATTTTCGAAATTTCAAGTTAATTTTCTTTTTTATTTAAAAATAAAGGCATATATATTAAGCAAATATATTGTAAATAATCTTAAAAATGATGCAACATTTCGTGAAAATATTAAATACGCTGCACCATTTAACGAGATACGATTTTTGGAATTGGGATCAGGGTGCGGACTGGCTGGATTATCAACATGGATTTTAGGTAACTCATAAACTCAAAACCCAAAAAGATTTTTTTTCGTAAATTAATGAGTATTTTTTTTTTTTCTTTAAATAATGTAGGTGGATTTGTTGTATGTAGTGATTTACCTGGAGAAGAATTTGAACATACAAAATTGAATATTGAATCAAATGTTGAATTGATATTAAATCAACAAGAACGATTTAATTCGGAATCTAATTTAAAAAATAAAAATAAATTGGATGTTGGATTGCGTGGAGAAGATATTAATGTTTTTCCATTAAATTGGTATGTAATTAATTACTTTATGATTAAATAAATATATTCTGAAATTTTAATTTTTTTTCCGTTCTTTTTTTTTTTTTAGGGAAGAATTGCCTCAAGACTCTTCAAACCCACTACACATATCGAATATGCTTCCGTTTGATATTATTCTCGCATCGGAAATCATTTACTTGTTTCATTTACACAAATCGTTAATTAAAACAATAAAATATTTTAGTCATCTACCTTGTGACACTTTAGAAGGAAGGAAAGAAAACCGAAGAACTTTGGTATTAGGAATCTATAAAGATCGTGGATTAGGTGAATCGACCTTTTTTGATATTGCTAATAAATTTGGTAAAATGAAAGTTATTTGGGTAAAGGATTTTTTATTTTTAATTTTGATTTTAAGAAAGAAAAATTGAGAATTAATCCACAAATTCTTTTTAGATTGATAATAATTGGATGATAAAAGAATTTAATAATTATTCTCAAGAATATAAAATGTTTTGGCTTATTCCTTTTGAATAATAAATAATTTTATATTCCGGAGTTTTTTTTTTTTTTTGATCACGAAATAAACTTCTTTTTTAGGCACATGCGGTCTAACTTTATAACCAATTTAGAAATTTTACGTGTTGTTTCAATATCCGAATTAAATAAATCACTTTTCCAATCAATCCAGATCTTCCGTTTCAAACCATCTCTGTTCTCTTCTTTTCAAAAAAACCATAAAATAAAATTAAAACATGACAAGCGAATATGAAAAGAAACGTTTAGAAAATATTGAAGCAAATAAACGAATATTACGTGAACTAGGTTTAGAAAGGCCACCACCTGTTTTACCAATTGTGGCAAATAAGAAAAAAACCGTTAAAACTAACAAAAATAAACATAAACATAAATATGTTAGTGAGAACGAAGATACTAATAAACCTAATAAGCGGAGATTAAGACAAAAAGGCGATGATGTGATTTCACGTGATGAAAAAGATTCTAGAGTAAGAAGATCATCCCGATTAGCTAAATTGGTAAAGATAATTTAATTCAATTAAATTCCGTTTTTTTTTTTTTTTTAAAAATACTTAAATACTTTATATATTTAATATAATAACGAAAATATTGTAATAATAGCCAGTTAAAGTTATTGCGGAAGTATCATTTGACTTTGACGAAACTTATAGATCCAAAAATGCGGAATGGAGGAAAAATCGTCCTGATCCAAAGCAGTTTGGTGAAATTACTGGTGTTCAAGTTGGAGCTTGGTGGCCAACTCGCATGGAATGTAGTCATCACGGTGTTCATGCGTAAGAATAAATTGTTTTTAAGACGCTTATTTATGTATATTTAAATTTAATAAGTTTTTTTTTTATTTTTTTTTTAAAAAAAAAAAAAAAAATCGATGTAAATTAGACCGACCGTTGCAGGAATTGCGTTTGTTGAAGATGAAGGAGCTTATAGCGTTGCTTTATCAGGAGTATGTGTTTTCTATTACTGACTTTTTTCTTATATATGATTATTTCTCTCATTTAAAATTTTTTTATTAGGGATATGAAGACGATGTCGATTGGGGTATTTATATTTACATTCAAACAGTATCGTTTCATTGAATGAAATAATTAATTCATTAATACATTAAATGGCATACAGGAGAAGCGTTCACATATACTGGTTCTGGGGGACGAGATTTGAAAGGAACGAAACAGAGACCAAAAAATTTGAGGACCGCGCCCCAGGTTAGTAATTCATTATAGAATTTTCAATTACAGCCACTAAATATTAATATATTTTTTTCACTAGACTAGAGATCAAGTTTTGGCTGCTGGTAATAAGGCCTTAAAGATTTCGTGTGAAACTAGTAAACCCGTAAGAGTAATTAGGTAATGCTTTGAATTTACAATCTTCAAAAGCTAGTCGCCAATATTTTGTTATTAGATTCCTAATGTTTTTCTTAAAAACATGGGTTTACAACAGAGGTTATAATTTGAATAACGAATACTCTCCTGAAGAAGGATATCGATATGATGGATTATATACCGTTGAGAAATGGTGGGAAGAAATTGGTTTGGCAGGTTTTAGAGTTTACAAGTATGCTTTTAAAAGAATACCAGGTCAACTTCCATTAGGAACTTGTGAAAAAAGTTGGTCTGATAGTGAAGTCGAAGATAATGATGATTGATAAAAAATGATTGAAAAGTGACTTGTGCTATTATTATTAACTAATTAGGAGGTATATCAAAATTTTGGATATTAAAAATCTCCTATAGAAAATAAAGTTCTTGATGGTTCGTTCCGTAATAATAACGATTCATAAACGTATTGATATATCTCACACTATCGATCAAATACGGTAAATTATGTGTTCATTAATATTTTTAAATATAACCTTTTACTTCTGTTGATTCGATCCGAAATAAAAAAAAAATGCATTTTTATTTAGTAAAAAGTGGCTATTAGATAAAAAATTATATTTTTCGAATCCACATTATTGCGAAATTTAAATGAAAATACTATCTTTATATAACTTTTTAAAGTAATAATAAAAGCAATCATCAAAATTTATATTTTTCTTTAAAACGTGAGTTTATTAAACAAGTTAGGATTCAAACGTGTTTATTTTAGATGTTAAAAGGTTTCTAGTATCACCAGGTAATCTCTCGCTTAGAATAGAGGTTGTTGCTAGAATAGGAAGATAAATAAGATAAATGATAATTCAAAAAGAATTTTATTATTAATCATAATATTACAACCTATAGATTTATATGCATTTTAAAAATAATAATATAGATGGATTCAATTCAATAGAAATATTATTAAATGATTTATATTAAATATCACAATTTCTGATTAGATATTTATCTTTTAAAGTAATAAAATAATTATATCAAGATACCTTGCTTCCGATAATTATACTTTGGCCGTGCGGATAATTATAACGTAACTTCACCGATAACTCCACAGTCACTATTAATTATAATATATAAAATTTTTTTTTTGCATTTGCATTTTTGGTACATATTTAACATATGAATACCAAATTAGGAATAATTCCATAAAAAAACGCGGTTGATCTGCAATGTATCGTCGCGAAAACTTACTTGACAAAGACGTGCCATTCCGTGTAAAAAGAATTTATCTGTAAGAATTACTATAAAATAAGTTGTAAATGACGTGAATACCTCATATGAATTGATAATATATCTCCTTCACGATTTCTAGATTTGTTTGATTTGACAATGGATCAATACACGCAACAATCAGCTCTACCACAACGCCGTACTACTTTGGCACCTGGACGAATGACAAGTTTAGCAAATCGACCAAATTCTATGGCGCCTGGACGAATGACAAGTTTAGCAAATCGACCAAATTCTATTAATATTATTTCACAAGAAAGAAATGATATTGTTCGACAGAAAGATCCCCGTCCTTTGCGCGATAAAACTTATCAAAGTCAATCGATAAATTTGATTATCAATCATCTTCGACAATCAAATTATCAATCTCCAATAGAACAAAGAAACTTAATTAATCCAACAGCAAAAGATTTTCTTAATATTTTCAGATTTTTATATAAGGATCTGGAACCTATTAAAGATATTGTTAGAGTAGAAGATATTGCAGGAGCCTTGAAAACTATAAGGTATCCTTTCGCTCATGATATATCAAAATCTTCTTTGCAAGCTGTTGGAAATCAACAAACTTGGCCATTACTTCTTGGTATGTTTTAATTTATGATATTAAATAATATATATACAATTATGTTAATTATTAATAATATTTTTAGGGATGCTAAGGTGGTTGGTAGAAATTATTTCTGTAAGTGTGAACTTACATATCTTAGTAATCACGTTATTATACGTGAATTAATTAATTATTAATTATTAGATGTGGGATCGAATCGAAGAGATAGAAATTGAACAGCATGAGATGACTTTAGAAAGTGCATTTTTCAGTTACCTTTCGAGTGCGTATGAATTATTTCTTAATGGAATTGATGAATTTCCCGAGCAGGAGGAAGAATTGGCAGTTAATTTTGATTGTATGTGTGAAAACCTCATCAAACATAGTGAAGAGCTTCAAAAAAATGTAGATGAGTTAGAAGGTGAATTAGGTCGAATGAACGAAACAAAGGTAATTAAGTAAATAAACTTAATGAATATTGACACATTCATAAACCGTTTTCCTATTATTAGGATCCTCTAATGGAAGTAAGAAATGAAAATCAAACATTGCGATCAGATGCAGACAAATTCAATAACTATACAAAGCATTTGGAGGATAAGATAAAAAAACTAAATGATGTTATTAGAAAATTGGAAGAACAACATAAAGACACCGAGAAGCAGCTATCAGAAACCGAAAGTGAAAAGGAAACCATACAGATACAAGTTAATAACCAATCAATATCTCCTGATGATGTTGAAAGGATGCATAAGGAGAGTGAACAGATAGCCAATAATCGAAACTCTATCTCTGCGAAAATGAAAGAAAGAAATAAATTAAAATGGGAGAAAGGATTGGAATTTGAAAAGGAAGTTGCTGAAGTCGAAAATTTAATTCAATACTATAACACAAACCTTTATCGTATTGCTAAATACACAACAGGCGATAATTATGAACTATCAGTTGATGTCAATGCAGGTCGAATTGATGAAATTCTTTCATCGGATTTAAGGGATACCGTCAAGGTTTGATTTAATTATATGATTAATTTATCTTATTATCTTGTCTCTATATTAATAATTTCATTTATTTAAAAGTCGAAGCTTGCAGAAATTCGACAACAAATCATTAATGAACTTTATATAACTCAAGAACGAATAACTCGAGCTACTGAAGAGTTACAAAGCCTTTGTGACGACATTGGAGATAAAGAGTCATACTTGCATAATTTGGAGGAAAGTGAAAATACACTTTCGAAGCAATTTGAAGAAGCGAAGTTAACGGATCAAAGTGAAACTGATAAATTGATAAAAAGAATAGCTACTTATGATCAAAGGATAAAACAATTTAGAACTGAAAGCAATTCCAAATATATTGAATGGAAACATAAACGACAAGAAACGCAGATTCAGTACGTGTATAAATTTATTTTTTTATCATTATGCAAATTATTTATTTCCTTTTTTAAAAAATAATTATCTAGATATGATCACGTTTCTCGAGAACATAATAATGCACGTGAGGCCATGAATAACGAATTTAATCAAATAAAAAATGAGCAACTTCGAAGGTTAGAAATTATTTCATCAGCCATTTCAAGTTTACAAAAGACATCTAGAGAAAACTTGAATGATGGAAAGATAGAGGGATAGTTATTTTTAAATAATGTACCTTGACCTTCCACGGTCGTGTTAAATATTAAACGTATAATGATTTTTTCGCTTGAGATCAATAAAGTTTGCCTATATTTGTTCGTTTTATTGCATTGTATGGTCATCAATACGCATTGAGGCATGCATCTTGCCAATGATTTTATATCAGCCTTTTTGACCAAAGGTCTCAAGAGAAAAATAGAACACCATATAGCCTGGCTTTAAACATATGTGAAAAGACAGGATCGCATCATTGCTGTGTTCACTTTGAAATACTTATTTTTTGCGTAACTTCAATACTACACCGTAGGATATAGGTTTGATACCTTTCTCGTGTGATTAGGGCGACTGAAAAATTCTATTTACTATGCTCTATTCGAAAAATCTCTCCCAAGCAGCATTGAAATAGCACAAAACTGTTAAGGTTGCGGGAAACCGATGCCCGGAAAAATCTATTATAATATTATAATAAACAAATAAATAATACGCCATTTTTTCATGTTTTTATATTTAAAACTCTAATTATTATTCGCGTTATAACTAAGAAATAAACACTTTTTTAAAAAAATTATTCGCATTCTAACTAAAATGACATGTAATTAAAAAAATAAAAGATAGAAATTTAATAAGATTTCAAAATCGCCCTTTAAAAAACAAATCAATTACCTATAATTATATTAACTAAAAAATAAAGTATTATGAGAATTTATCTTTAAAAGTCTGAGGCATTGTTTTCTTTTATCAATTGTAATTTCAGTAACAACTTTTTTATTGACTTGAAATTCTTTTCAATAAATGTTATAGTACCTAAGAGGTACTATTATTTGTGTTTAAGTTCAAATTGGTGAGAATATTATCTAATACTCTCAGAAGTACATCAAAATTTAGGATTAGAACTATTAGCATTTATTCACTTCAAGGTTATCATATAAAGAAGTAGTTATACATCTATGTGAGAATATAGAATCATTTTGACTAGCATAATGCGTTGAAAGTAGTTTGTAGAGTTGGCATTAGCACTGCTTTTGATAATTTAATTCTTACGTATTATTACCACAAAATGGCTTGTGAAAAAAAATTGCTTCTTTCAAGTTAGGTAATGTTAAGTAATTATTTCTATGAATACATTTAAGGGAATACTTATCTCTTCCAAGTTTCTGTGAATAATTACAATTCAACAAGTGAGAATGATTATAATAATCCATTATTCTCTTTAGCCCTTTCATAGGATCTCACTCTTATTCTTACATAGAACATAAAAATATATAGTTTACTTAGACTAGACAATTTTCTCACTGCATAAAATGATAAATCTAATGTATTTGTAATCTCCATGTCAGTCTATTAAAAAAATGACTCAATTTACTAAAGCAAATCTGTTTTGTAGATGTTAAAACTACACCAGACTTGCATTAAACATAATTATATGTGAGAATTAAGTAAATCTATTAAAAGCCTTCATCTTATATTAGAAACTACTAGCCCTAAATATATAAATAAGTTTTAACAATTCACAATATAACTGAAGATTTATTGTAGAAAAAGCAAAAAAGCTAAAGGTTTTCAAATAAATTTACAATCAAATGTCATTAAAGCCTTCAAGCTTTGAAAAAATTTTAAAATAGCAATATCAATATAATACAATAAAGGTTAATGATAGAAATTTCTATTCGAAGCATCTTAAAATTTCTGGATATATATTTATTGATACTTGATCATGTTTTATGAAATTTTATTCTAAGGCTAAAAAGAGCAGTTTAGCATATTACCTAAAGGAGTGTAAACTCAATAACAAGCTGAATATGTCTTTTCATCATATATTTAAGTATTATAGAAGAGTGTTAAAAGAAATCAATGTTACAACAGTTGAGCAGATACGTAAAATAGCTGAATATTGTATTATTGATGCTATTAGTTATTAGCGGTTAATGATAAAGTATAATGCAATTAAAGATAACATCTGTAGTCTTCATATCATTATATGATTTATATTATTTTGCAGTAAGAATGAAAATGCGTAATCTTTTAAATGCTAGTGCGTGACAGGAAAGAATTTTAATTAGCACAATTTCATATGAACAAATAGAAATAGAAAAGTATCTTAAGGTCTATGTTTTTCCACCAGTAAAGAGTCTTGAAAATAGATGACCTGTAACTAGCTAAGACTTTGCATCATTATATTCAAGTTTTTTCATAACATATAATTTCTCATCTGATAAAATTATTTTATCTTGAGAACTTGCTAAATATATATGAAACTGAAATTAAAATAGTCAAAATGATTATGATGGTTAAATGGTCAAAATTGATTTTGACTATTTGTTAAAAAATTTGAAAAGTCAAAATTGATTATGAGGGTCAAAATTAATTGCGAAGGTTAAAATTAATTACAAAAGTTGAAATACATAATGAGAGTCAAAATCAATTCTGAGAGTTGAAATGCATAGATCTGACCAGAATTACAATCATGTGATATTATATAAATCTAAAAAAAGAAATTTTTATTCTTGTGAAAATCCATCTAAGTATTATATCAAAGTATTACAAAACTCCAAAAAAAGAATTTTTATTATTGATCATTTAATTCAGGCTAAAATAATATGATAGAGACGAAATAGGTAAATTTTATCAGAATTAAGCGAAACAAATGAAATTTAGCAGAATTAATAGAAGTAATTAATAGAATTAATAGGAATAATTAATAGATTTTACCAGAATTAATAAAAGTTAGTCTAACTAAATATAGATATAACAAGATGTGAAGAAACTTAATCATTAAAAAAATTTTTCCTAAAATTTTAAGTATTATTTCTATAAATAAAAATAAATAATAAATTTTTCAAAGAACAATATTAAAATTTTAAATAAACTTTATTTAACTATATCTAATACTACATTTGAGACCTTTAAAGGTTTCTTCGCTAAAAACTTACAAAAGTTTCAAAACTTAAAAACACTTATTACCCTAAACTTAAAGAAATGAGATATCGTTATTGCAGATTTTCTTTCCTTTCAAACATCAAAAATTTATTGACTAGTTCAACAATTTAATTTTAAATATGATAAAGCTTTTTCAGAAAATCTTACTTTGCGAACAAATTTTTTAAACAACAATTTTATCAAAAATATTATAAAAATAGTCTCCTATATTATTCATGAAACTGGTACCAACAATCACAGTACCAAAGACACTCAAGAATGGTTTCCAATACTATTACTAACATGACTACTTTCTATAATAATGAGAATATTATTTCTGTTGCAAATGATGATGAAATTTTCCAACATATGAATACATTAGATGAAAGATGATATATTAACAGATATCTCATACACAAGGCATAATTACCTTCTTTCTTCCCTTATTGTTTCTTTTTCTTCTATCTCAGTAATATTAAAAAATAAAAATAACAATAACAATTCATTTAAAAGTAATAATAATTAAATGATATGTCTAATACTAATAACACGTCTAAAAATAATAACAATCAAATAGACGTATTTAAAAATTTACACAAATACAAACACGTATCATAGCAACAAATAAACAGATCAAGACAACAAATATATTTATTATACAAAATAAACAACAACTACCAAAAGATCGATAAATACTATCTAACACAATTAATGTATCATTACATAATTCAAAATAAACAAATAATAAACATCTTTCAAAAAATGACCTACGTCATTCAATTTGCAATACCTCTCATATAAAACTTAACCATTATATAAATTACGTATTTATATCAGTATTAGCTTTTGTCATAAAAGGTAACAGCTGAAGTGAAAAGCTAGAACTTTTAAATACTCTCTTCACTATGAAACCTAATTTTGTTAACATAAACTGGTATTTTTAAATGGCAATGCTCAAATATTCATTGAATTTAATAATAGAAAATTCATGCTAAAAGCAATAAATGACGTCACTTTACAATACTCAGATATTCTCTTTAATTTAAATTGCGATAATGATAATAGTGATAACTTTAGTCATGCTTTCATATTCAAACTATAAGCTATTCTATTAAATATTACATTTATCGCATGTTATTATACTATAAAAATATTAATAATATAGAAAATAAATATAGAAATAGATATAAATTATCATGTGATGTAATTGTTTCCTTTGAAAAAATGATCAAATCAAATCAGATGAACTTTGCATAAACATATAACATTAATGGACAAGTTATCTGATGTACTCATATTAATACTATGATCGAAGAACTTAAATAACGAAACAAATTTGTAGCTGGTTTCAAAGACTTTCCTAATAAAATAATATCTATAAAAGCATTTAAAACACTTAGATCTTTTAAAGCTAGATTGTATTACTTTCACAATAATATCACTTACGATGCATTTTTCTCAGAAAAGGATATGACTGATACATGTAATCAAAGAATTTCACATAATGGATATATTCTAAATGGAAAGCCCAAAATACTTAATAAAACTTACAATGATAATGAGATAGAGCATTCATTGCAAACCCTTTCTTTATTCAAAATTATTTCATCAATTATAAAAATAAAAAAATATTACAGACTCTAAGAAAGAGAAATTCCAATGAAACTAATAATTTTTATAATCATAATTTAGTGTAAGTCAATACATCAATACAAATTAATCATACAAACTACACTGAGCAATATACAACTAATAGAAATTTTTATAAAATAGCTCTTTTCAACGACTCGTTAACACTCATCCTAAATAAACTCCAAGAATTAAATTCAATCAAAGTTCACTTGGCTCAATTAAACACTTAATTTAACAACTTCACTAATAATAATGGATTACTAATCTAACAATTATAACATATTTATACTAGACAAATCAAAGAATAGAAGTTTCTTTACTGATAACCAGGACTCTGATAAATACTATGAAAATGTATCAAGTTTTATCAATTCTCAAAAATAAGAATTTTTTACAAACAGAGAATTAATAATAAATACTATAAATAATGATATCCAAATATCAGATCA